GCAGGTACCATATGAACCACAGAGTGCATAATTGTCACAGTTATCCATTTGTACTGTTGTATAAACTTCCCAGCCTTGTGTTCTATTGATCCAAACGAGGCGCTGCCACAGTCCATTCTGAGTTAACACCATTGTTGAAGGAATTGAGTTATTACGAAGGTTGTGGCTGTAATATACCTCTCTCTTATTCAATACAAATCCAAATGTAAATATAGAGTTTGGTTTTAGTCCAGTTGTGCCACTAAACCGTTCACCATTCCAAGGACCAGGACGATATCTAACAATGGAACCTTCTCTCAAAATTAATTCTGGAAATCCACCAAGCTCATGCCCCAATGTAAAATTGCCATGGGAGGGATCATCAGGGCTCTTCCAGGATGACAGGTATCGATTAAGCCCTGTTATTAAGTTCATTCCAAGCTTCATTCCTGGTAGGAATGTATTACCAGGATAATCAAAGCTCTGCCACAAGAAGTTTTCAGGATTATTTTCATTCTCTTCTTTCAAAATAAGGTTTCCTGAATCCAAGAGCTGTGCAACCGGATTATGAACAGGTCCGGATGAGTTTGAAGACCAAACGGTTCTACCTTCATGGTTTAGAAGGACTAGAATCCCCTGGTTGGTAACTTTTAGAACACCTGATGAACTGTTGAGCGGAACATCTCTATTGGCTACCCATACAACAGTCTTGACAGATATTTTCTTGTACCATATTCCCAAGTATCTGTTCCTGCTACCAACCGGGCTAAAGAATCCTAGTTCAAACATTCCACCTGCTGAAACCATGGTCTCATTATCTCTGATAGAGACTGTTGTATCTATGGTGTCCACTGCAGTGGACATACTTGGATTAGGCAGCAAAAATGAGGCAAAAAGAAGTATGATAAAGCCTTCCATTGTTTGGATGCAACTCTGAAAGCCCAGAAGACAATGAAGAAACAAATATCATTAAAATTGGTCCATATAATTACAGGTCTGACGTCTTGAGGTTTGAATTTCAACATTATGATTCGTAAGAATCAGCATAATATTCTTGTCATATTGGCGCAATAGAAAATATACATAGAAAATATATATAATAAGGTGACTAAGAGAGAAGGAAATGTAAGTTCAAATCTCTTTGTATAGAACTTAGAAAAATATTGCAGGTCTGCAATCCATTTCTGACTGTCATTAAAGCTTTAATATTTTAATGACAAAAAAAAAAAAAGGAAGAAGAAGAAATTTGATTTGTGAATGTGAATGATCCACCATTAATTTTCTTATCCATTGACTTTTTTCAAACTTGAATTTTCTACTGAATATAGCAAGTTTGAAAATTGCATGTTATTAATTTTGTTTGACTCTAATGCAACAGTCTTAGGAAAAAAGATTACTGAATGTCTCTTAAATCGTTCACATAGTTTAATGTTTTAATCAAAATTAAATGAGTGAAAATATTGGTTGATCGAAGGAATGACAACATTGTTAAGCAATGTTAATTATCTTGCATCTAATTCTGTAATGGTGAAATCATTAGATGAAAGTGGTTTGAAGTGTCCTGAATCCTAAGAACCGGTTCCAACCAGATCCTTTTCAGTGAAAAACTCTGGTTGTTTAGGCGAAGGAAAGGGCCTTCAGTAACCCACATCAGAACCACTTTAGACATGTTTGGTCTATCTTGTTCACTTTGTTGCACGCATAACAGACCTACATGAATCAATCATAACACTTCACAAGGGTTGCTGGTTTCCCTAATTGGTGATTCAATCATACACAAGGATTTCCCTTCAGCAAATAGTCTCCATGCCTATGGAACAAACACCAGTTTAATGATAGTAGACTTCAACTAACATTTGAGAGTTAATAAGCTCATAATTGCACTTACATGTCCAAGAAGATTAAGCTGGTGATCTGGATGACAGAATCCTCCGTTTCTGTTCCCACTTACTATCTCTAGCACCAATACACCAAAGCTAAAGACATTAGATTTGATAGGGTAGAGTAGCGAGTCAGAGAATTAAAAAGCGATTGGGTTGCGAAATAGCGGCCTCTATTTTGCAGTAGCGACACCCGCCGAAACCGTTATCCACCGTTATTAAGATGTGAGAATCGATTCACACACAAATCGATTTTTCATGGTCGTAAATGGCAACACAATGAAAAATAGCGATAAAAACGAACCGCTATAACCGTTATCAAGTCCGAAAAAAAAAATCAATCCTAAATCACAACAATCACTCAACAAAAATTTTATGTTTCAATTTATAAATAAAAGAAAGAATTAATCTAAGGAAATAATAAGATATTCACTTAAAAAGTATTTTTTTTTCATATTTTGTTGCTCTTTTAGAAATTTCGTAACCCTTTCCAACTGTCACAGTGGTATGGGTTCTTTCTCTTTTCAATCTTGGTACAGATGAAACGAGATTTGAAAATCGAATTGAAGCAAAAGATATGAATATAACATGAAGTGGTTTGCTGTGTATCGTGAAACGAGGGAAACGAAAGAGATGCAAAGAAAATGGATAAGGAAGAAAGAGACACAAGGAATGAAAAAGGTGGAGAAGAAATAAAGGATATTGGGTCACATAATTGTGTTTAAAACTAATAAAATTAATGTTTTTTTATTTTATTGTTTAGATAAAATTTTGAGAGAAAAAGTTTGGTAAAAAATAAGAGTTTGAGAAATTTTTTATTTAAATTGAAATTGAGAGAGAATGATAGATAATGGTTAATAAATTTATTTTTATAAGTGTTTTATATGTATAAGTATTATTTAAAAATAATTAATTTTACATTAAAATTTTATTTTTAATTGCATTTTTTTGTTTAATTAAAGTTAAATTGCTAACTATTGATTTAATTTGTTAATTGATAAAATAAAATTTTTATTTATTATATTTTTTCTATTAATTTCACATATGATACAATTTTTTAATTTTATTTAGTTATATTAGTTATGTTTGTAAAATTTATGGATATCTTATTGAATAACTTTTAAATGAGTATATTGACAATTAAGCTATACCACTAAAAAAATGTTAGATAATTGATTTTATTATATAAAAAATTCAATTAAAATGTCTTAAAATTTTTTAAATAATATAAAATACGAGTGTTTATGATTATCTATGTATTTACTTCATTCGTGATGAGTTATGCAAAAATTTTAAAAAAAAAATCATGTCTGTAATAAATGTAATTATCGTTATCTTATATTCGTAATTATGATAAATACGATACGATAAAAAACGTGATCATAATTATAATTTAAATCCCTATGATAGACCCTGTTCATTGCTTACTTCGGTTGCTATGTAACCCTTGCAGATAATAAAAATGTTCTATATCATTTATACGGGAGAAAATGACATGACAAATGTTGTATTTTCCAAAAAAAAAAAAGAAGTAGCTTTGTTTCTAATAGATGGAACATTAGTTCTATATGATTATAGCGATGGAAGTTATAAACAGGTAAATTTTGGAAACTTTAGAGATTATATCATGTGTATTTTTTGTAAAGATTCGTACTCAACTTATAAAATATTATTCGTTTTTATTCGAAAGTCTCATGATTTTGTTTTAGTATCTCAGTGCCTACAAGTTTGAATTTAGATTTTTACATATATATTATATCATATCCACACATTCTTTCAATATAAAATTGGAATCAATATAGAATTAAGATATTATAATATCCCAACTTTTAATAAAATTTGACATTCCTTTCAAATCGAGTCCAATAATAGAACAAGATCACTCTAGAATTGGGATTTTAAAGATAACTTCCCACTGTATAACATTTAGTGACTCTCATGACCTCACTGTGTAGCACTTAGTTCCTATATAGCATTTAGTTTTTGCGTTTGAGTTTAAATCTGTACGTATATATCATGCATTTGGGTTTAGACTTCCACATATATATATCATATCATATTCACACATTCTTTCAATATAAGATTGGAGCGTCTCATGATCCCATCATGTACTGTGAAACACTTAACTCTCATCAACTGATGACTACTCTAATATTATTTGTTATTGTCCACTTTAACTCAAAAATCTTAAAATATTATCTCACAAAAAATATTTTACAAGTTTGAATTTAGATATATATATATTATCATATTTACACGTTTTTCTAACGTGAGATTAGAGGCATCATATTTTTCTATGCGAAAAGCATACTTTACCAGGCAGTAAAATATCAAACCCTTGATTAAATATGAAAATGGAGAGGAAGGAAAACGCCTCAGAAACCATAGGCGGAAATTCTTCTTATTGATTAAGAAAGTGCAGTACTTCTGCGATGGTCACCTTGTTTATGTGTTTAATTGGTTTATTGGAAAGTATTCTAATCCATATTTAGATTTTTCCATGTTTAGTCAACGTATCTTAAACCAGAAGATATCTCATGACCCAACTTAACAAGCTACCTTTTGCTATTCTATTTTGAAATGTTGAACAGGATAGCAAGACTTCTTACTATTTAGTTTCATCATTAATTTCTTGCCAAGTAAGTTTCTCAGTCCTGCCTGTCATTGCACAAGCGGCATAGCCATAGGGCCATAATGTAGAGGCTGGATGCACCTGAATTTGATTGATATTATAATGGTAATGTCCAATGATTTGATTTTTGATATTTTAATTTGGTCAAACCAGATCTGCTATATGTCTAAAACAAACCAAATAGACGGAATTTTTTGTTTGAATTTTTTCATACTTCCCTTGTTGTTCCCTTCATTAAGAATGAAGTTTACATGTTTTCTGCTTTGATAATCACCTCTGCAACCTTTAATGACTTTTTGTTCAGAAAAACTCATAATCCAAGTCCATAACTGATAAAAGAGACTCTCTAAGAATCTCGTGAGATCAAACTACCCTGCCTCTTCAGTCCAAGGATACCCTAACACTGGAATAGCCATCAAAGTAATGACAGAAATGCTGGAACAAAAGCCTTTTTGTGCCAGTCAACCTTTTATGACCGTAATTCTTTAATAGTAGAAGGAGAAGTGGATATATGAATATAACTATACAAGTGTTGATATCTAGTTGATAGTGTCCGATAACATGAATTTTGACAGTATTCTTTTGGAACTATAATAAGAAATGTTAATCAGTTAAACGAAGAGTCAAAACGAAATATAAGAAAAACTTTGAACATGAAACTGAATAGAAGAAACTTAGACACCGCAAAGACAGTAAATATATTTCAACAACATAATCCCTTCCAAGAGTTCACTTGCACTATGAAATTAACATGAAAGGACATTTATTTATCTTGCCCCTAACAATGTAACCGTGTAATCATTAGGTGAAAGCAGTTTGTGCCTGGTTGTTGAAGAACTAGATTCTACCAGATCCCTTTCACTGAAAAAACCTGGTTGTTTAGGCTGAGGCAAGGGGCCTTGGCTTCCCAACATCAGAACCACATTTGACATGTTTGGTCTATCTTCTGAACTTTTCTGCACGCATAATAGCCCTACGTGAATCGATCTTAACACTTCTGAAGTATTGCATGTTTGCCTAATTGGTGATGAAATCAACTCCAAGGAATCCCCTGCTGTAAATAGTCTCCATGCCTGTACAACAAAGTACAAACACCACTTTAGTTGTACTAGATTTAAGCTCCACATTGACTGCTAATAAGATCAGAACTACACTTACATGTCCAAGAAGATTAAGCTGATGATCTGGATGACAGAATCCTCTGTTTCTCTTCCCACTCACTATCTCTAGCACCAACACACCAAAGCTAAACACATCTGATTTAATGGAGTAGAGCCCATCAATTGCATACTCAGGAGCCATGTAACCACTGCAGATAATACAAAAAGTTTATATCATATATACATGATAAAATGACATTAAGATTATCATCAATATATCTATTATATCATTTTGCAGGTTACTACTTACTATGTTCCCACCACTTTCTTCGTATTTGCTGTAGTTTCCTTTTCTCCAAAACTTCTAGCCAGCCCAAAATCTGAAATTTTTGGACTCATTTCATTGTCCAATAAAACATTACCAGCTTTAAGATCTCTATGTATTATTCTTTGTCTTGAATCTTGATGGAGATAAAGAAGCCCGCGAGCAATTCCATTGATAATGTGGTAACGCATAGGCCAATCGAGTGACATGCTTTGAGATTGATCTGTTTAGTTTGTTTGCACAAATTGAGTCATTTTCTTCTCTTAGATGTCAGGATAGAAAACCTTTGGGAGGAAAAGAGAAAGTGAAGGTAGTCATGATTACATGGTAGAAGCACTCAAGTATACTAATTGAACTAAATTTCCCTGGTTGGAGAAAGACATACCAAAAATAAAGAAGTCCAGGCTTTTGTTAGGCATAAATTCATAGATCAGCATCTTTTCATCTCCTTGAATGCAGAATCCTAAAAGCTTTACTAAATTCCGGTGCTGAAGTTTTGCAACATGCATTACTTCATTTTTAAATTCATAAAGTCCTTGGCTAGAACTTTTTGATAGCCTCTTTACAGCAATTTCTTGTCCATCCTTCAAGATACCCTGAAAAGTGTATAACCACATGTTCATTCTTGTCAATCCGCTAATTTTCTTGAAAGTTTTCTATATGTCAATGCAAAAAGGTGATACCATAGAGTTGCAAAAATGAACATGGAACATGGTGCAGTTTACCAGATTGTTACCTTATAGACAGATCCAAAGCCACCGTCTCCCAGTTTATTTGCTGTCCAAAAGTTATTGGTGGCACAAGCAATTGTGGCTAAGTCAAATTCTGGTAACTCTAGATCTTCCTTCTGAATTTTAATGTTAGAACTTCTTTCAGAAATTGGTGTCAGCAATCCTGCAAAATAATGGTCCTAGTAAATGTAAAACAACACAAGCAGTGTGGTCATCAAACTCAAAATGAAATTTATATATCAGTAAAAATTCGCAAATCAATAGTCCCGGAAGGTCTTTTATATCAAATAATTTCCAGGCCTATTGCAGTAGTATTATGGAGGTATTAAACACAATAAATGGCACTTTTCCAATTTTTCCTCAACCAAAACCAGATTTCTCATTGCAATTGACAATCGCTATTATCAGTGTCCTTGACTACATTTCCTGCAATGTTGAAAATTCTTTGGATGCATATGCAAACAATCTAAGGAATACTACTATAGTCTATGCAATCCATTCTTTGTTTTAATTCAGCTAGTCTCTCTCAGGTACAGCTTCTTCTCTTCTTTAGCACCTTGTTGTCAAGTTCTCTTTTGTTATCCATTTCTGAATGGAGGACTTCTTACCAGGATTGATGAAATTATTACTCCATCAGATATCTTGGTCTGCCCAGGAAAATGAAAAAGAAAAGCTCAAAGTTTCCATGACCTTAAACAATCAAACTTGCTTTCCTCATAATAAACTTTAAATAAGATAATGGAATCATTAAGTCACTTGCCCCTTGATTGTTTCAACAGAAAATTTTCAGTAAACTCCTGTGCTATAACATATCTAGATTTGGCAGCATTGTCCCTTCAAGGGTAATAACAAGAACACAACTTTGAACAGGGAAACTTTCCATAACTCTGCAACAGAAAGTGAAAGAAAAGAGTCTTATATGAGAGAAATATGATATACCAGGTTTTTTATTGCACGTCTTCCTCCAAAGATACAAGACCAGGGCTAAGCCAAGGATCAACACTGCTATAGAGAAGATACAGATGACTGCAATCCTCATTCTTTCCTTCTTGTTGGATGTAATGCTCTCAGTTTGGTCTAGTCATCAAACAAATCATGGCAGAAATCTAGGTGTTAAAAATCGATATGAAAAAGGCAAATTAGTATAAATTGAAGCATTGTGGTTATAAATTAACTGGCTGGATCAAACTAAACAACTCAAATCAGTTGGTTCAGATTATGCATAAAGGTTTAGCAGAGGTTCCACCAATGTCTATGCCATTTTGCCAATAATATCAGTGGTTATATCTACAATGTTATTAGTATTTATGTTTTATTATTTCATTGGAAAGAAAAAGAAAATCTATGTATTAGAGTTAATTAGAAAATGGCATTTTAAGGATAGCTGACTTCATACCTAGTTCTGATGCAGCCATTCTTATATAAATTTCTTGTCCATTTTCAGTGAACTCTCTAATGTCAACGAGGTCAACAAACCAAAGTAAGCATCCACTTCCTCCTTTTCTTATATCCAAATTCGCATAAGCTGTACATGAGCAGTTCTTTTTGCAGAGGTTCTTGCACTGCTCAAGATTCATGCTGTAGTTAAACGAGGATTGTCGTGAATCTGGCAACTTTACTCCAGAGTACTTTATAAATCCATCACTAGAGCAGTTTAATGGAGTCTTTCGAACACACCCATCTGTCCAAAGTTTACTGTCCCATTTTTCTGGAAATTTTGGCACAAATCCCTTCAAGCAACTGCATTCTGGGAAGTTACTTGCAGTGCAGGTACCATATGAACCACAGAGTGCATAATTGTCACAGTTATCCATTTGTACTGTAACATAAACTTCCCAACGTTCTGTTCTCTCAATCCATTTGTGGCGCTGCCAAAATCCATCGTGAGTTAACACCAACATTGAAAGAGTTGAGCTATTACGAAGTTTGTAGCTGAAATATACCTCCTTCTCATTGAACACAACTCCAAATGTAAATAAAGAATTTGGTTTTAGTTCAGGTGTTCCACTAAACCGCAAACCATTCCAGGGACCAGGACGAAATTGCACAACTGAACCCTCTCTCAGTATACACTCTGGAAAGCCACCAACCTCATACCGATAAGTAAAATTACCATGAGAAGGATCATCAGGACTCCTCCAGGATGACAGGTAACGATCCAGGCCTGTAATTAAGTTCCTTCCAAGCTTCATTCCTTGTAGCAATGTGTCACTTGGATAATCAAAGCTCTGCCAGAAGAAGCTTTCAGGGTTGTTTTCATTCTCCTCTTTGACAATGAGGTTTCCTGAATTCAAGAGCTGTGCAACTGGACTGCGGGCAGGCCTGGATGAGTTGGAGGACCAAACAGTGCTCCCTTCATGATTTAGAAGGACTAGAATCCCCTGGTTGGTAAGTTTCAGAACACCTGACAAATCTTGGAGGGGTTCTTCTCTGTTGGCCACCCATACAACAGTCTGGACAGAAATGTTCCTGTACCATATTCCCAAGTATCTCTTGCTGCTGGAACCTGGGGTAAAGAAACCTAGCTCAAATCTTCCTCCTTCTGAAACTATCGTTTCACCATCTCTAATTGACTGAGTTGAATTCAAGGTTTCCACTGTAATGGATAAAGTGAGATTAGACAACATAAAGGAACAAAGGAGAATTATAGCAAAGCCTTCCATTGATAGGAAGAAACACTAAGAACGAAGTAATTGTTTTTAAAGGCTATCGCGATTTCATTTTCTTTTGTCAAGGATATTTGAATGTTTCACCATCTTCAGCAGAAATTTCTAATCGTTATCAGAGAGTTGTAAACCACACACCCCGGCAACAAAAAATAAATGTAGCATATAATACACTTTGGAAAGCAATGACTAAAAATTTCTTTAAATTAAAAATGTTCCATGATTTGTAGCAATGACACGACCGAGCTGATTCAATATTTCATGAAACCCAAAGGTTGAAAAAAGAGTGAACAAGTTTGTTTCTTGCCACTCGATATTGTCAATAACTCCGTACTGCTGCAGCATTGATTAACTGACTAATGCTGGGATTGGATTCATCAAAAATTTTATTGTATCGTTAATTAAATTTAAATATTAATATTTAAATATCAATTTATATTAATTTTAATAAAATTTATTAATTAATTAAATTTAAATATTAATTTTTATCAATTCCAATAAAATTTATTAAACATAAATTTTTTATTAAAATTTTTTTTCATTGTAATTATAATAATATTTTTTAATTATAATTATAATAAATTTTTTATATTACTTTTAATTAACCTCATCTTACGAATGAAACCTAAGTTGCTTCCAAGTCAAGATTCCTATTTATGAAAGTTTTCTTGGTAGTCAATCACATCACGTATTGATTAACGCAGAAAATTTTTAGCAAGCCAGACTCATAAGTCAAGACCTATCATTGTGGTTCCATTAATTTGATCCTATTGCCTGGTCGCGGACATGTGGTCAACACCACGTGTTATCTTCCAACAACCCCATTCTACTTCCTTACTCATCACGGAAGAAAAAAAATACCAAAAAGTCTTATATTTGGGATTCTTCAGGCCAAACTTTCCCAAATTTAGTTTTCTGACAGTAAAATTCAAGTTAGTTCCCGACTGAAGATGTTAACTGTCACATTCCATTCTCACTGTGACGGCTTGAAAGATTTTATGGAGAGATCTATAAAAGGGTATATTAAAATGGAAACAAATTAGTAAGACTAATCATAAATGTAATTTGATGATCAAAACAATCTGCAGATCATCTGGTCGATCTTAGACATGCTTGGTCTATCATCTGTACTTTGCTGCACACGTAACAGGCCTACATGAATTTGATCGTAACATTTCAGAAGAATTGCAGGTGTCCCTAAGTACTGATGCACCAATTCGAAGGATTTTCCGTCAGAAAACGGTCCGCATGCCTGTGCAGCAAACAAGAAATTAATTAGAAAATACAATTTAATTCTATCTAATTAATTTTAATTTGATTCGATTTTTTAAATTTATTTTTTATAAATTAAATATCGAATTAAGTCAGATTAGATAATAAAAAAAATCAGATTTAGTTTTAGACAAATTTAATCTAATATATATAAAAAAATTATTTTTTAATTAATTAATTTTATATTTATATATTTATATATATTAAATTTTATATTTATATTAAAAAATTAAATTTTATATTTAAAAAACATATTTTATTAATTTTGAATCTAGTTAGATCAGATGTAATTTTATCTAATGTTAGATCAAGTTGAGTTCAAATACAATTTTTTTTTTTTAAATTAGATCGGGTAGGGTTCAAATATTATATGTATATAATTGGATCGAGTTTAAACTAAACAAAAATCCGTTTGGACTCGATCCATTGTCATTCATAAGCTTTAACACATAATAATAATAATAATTTAACTTTAACGATAAGAGTTATTTGATAAGACCTGTTAAAGTAAAAGTCTAGATTTAACTAAACAATCAAGTTAAGAAAAATATAATCAATTAATCACAAAGATAATAATTTAACATGATTTACTTCAATCATCTTCTTCTATTTATAAGAAAATAGATCCATTATTATAAAAAATTATTACAAATATATAAATCATCAATACTCAAACATAAACAATACCCATAATCTCTTTCATTCTTCTCTAATTCTATAATATACTCTCGATTCAAATAAATATATATTTATGTATATTCATGCATTATATTTACGTAAATATAAATCATATTTATATGAATTATCTCATTCTCTTCTAATTTACTCAAACAAATACATCCATAAAAATTTTTTAATCTCTTTTAATTTAATAAGATATTTATCTCATAAAATTTTATAATTTTTTTATATTTTTTCTCTTATTTAACCTATAAAAACTCTCACTATTTATAAACATATAAATTTGTGTATTAAAAATCTCTTTCTCTTAAAAAAAAAATTTTATAAATTTTTTTATTTATCAAGTAATATTTAATCAATTATATCTCTAATAAATTTCTATTCAAATTCGCATCTCTAATAGTTAAGTCAATTGTAATAATTTTTATCGTAACTCAAATTTCATTAAATAATAATTTTATACTAAGACATATTTCACTTAACATGATAAAAATTTCTTTATAAATATTTTCTGCGTGTTTTCATATTTCACGCAAATTAATTTTTACAAACTAATATCTTAAAACACAAGCTCGAGATGGAGTTTATTCCAAGTCAAGATTCCCACTTATAAAAGTCATCTTTGGTAGTCAATCGCATCACATTGATTAACCCGGCAACATTTTTAGCAAGCCAGACTCAGAAGTCAAGTCCTGCCATTGTTGTTCCATTCATTTGACTCTATTGCCGGGTTGGGAACAAGGAGTCAACACCACGTGTTATCTTCCAACAACTCCATTCCTACTTCCCCACTCATGACGGAGAAAAAATTTGGGATTTTTCAGGCCAGGCTTTCCCAAATTTAGTTTTCTGATAGTAAAATTCAAGTCAGTTCCCGACTGAAGTTGTTAATTGTCACATTCCATTTTTACTACCACAGCTTGTAAGATTTTATAGAGAGATCAAAGGAGCCAAAAGTTTTCGACATTTCAGAAGGATTAAACCAGTAAATAAATGATGTTCATGGGTTTGAAAAAAAAAAATAAGAGTGAAAGGGAGCTGGTCATCATGATTGAATATTGTCTGGTTTGTATCTGGAATTGAGAGGGACAGAAACAGAGAACTTGATTACTTAGATTTAAACCTTGATAATGGATTAGATAGGGACCATGTATGGACCCACCATCCCTCATTTCGCCTAAATGCATGGAATTAATTGCGGGGAAATAAATATCCAAGACTAAAACTCATCCATACAAATCAAGTTCCTTTCCAATGGGGTAAGACTTTCTTGTGACAAATTTTCCACACATCTTTTTCTCGTTCTTTTCATGTATATCCTCAAAACACCGAAACTAAAGCATTCTTCTAGAAAACTTATCTCTTCCTTTGGCCTGAGTTCTACCATGTAGAATGGATGGTTCACGCTTGATAAATTTGATTCGTCATTCCTAAATGTTGTTCAAATTGGGATGACTCTGAATTCATTTGTTGTTTGTAGGAATTGTTGGAATCCCTTTCTTTTCAAAGAATACATGTTTGAAAACCTGAATGCATTGTGGACCAGTTTTTGCAAATAACTGGATGATATTATATTCTTGATGAATGTGAAATTGCAAACCTATATTTGAACATGACTTTCCAAAAGGATATAATAAATGCCTACATACATGAAAAGAAAGAGAACATTCAATCAAAACCAACTTTGATAGTTGAGTTGGGGGAGGAAATTTTGAACTCGTGGACCTATTGGAAGAAGAGATATGAATGTCAAGGAGGCTCTGCCTTGATCATTGTAGAACAGTAACATGCATATGTCATTTATCTTGCATCTAATACTGTTATAGTAAAATTATTAGACAAAAATTGTTTTTGACTGCTTGATGAAGAACTAAATTCAACCCGATCCCTTTCATGGAAAAAACCTGGTTGTTTAGGCTGAGGCAAAGGATCTTCGGAACTCAGCATCAGCACAACATTTGACATGTTTGGCCTGTCTTCAGGACTTTGTTGCACACATAATAGACCTACATGAATAGATCTTATAATTTCATGTGAGTTCCGGGCGTCGCTAATCGGTGCAGCAACCAGTTCCATTGATTTGCCTTCAGTAAATAACCTCCATGCCTATGCAACTAAAGTCAGTTCACTAACAGAACGAATGTAGAATCAAAATTTAGAGATGGGAAGATTTGTAATGTGACACTTACATGGCCAACAAGGTTAAGCTGGTGATCTGGATGATAGAATCCTCTGTTTCTTTTCCCACTCACTATCTCTAGTACCAAAACACCAAAGCTAAAGACATCAGATTTAATCGAGTAGACCCCATCAATGGCATACTCTGGAGACATGTATCCACTGCAGGTAAACAGTCGAGTTAAATCAAGCATAAAAGGTCTGAAGTTAAGCAATGTACTAAATCAATATTTGTGTTATAACTTACTATGTTCCCACCACCCTGCTTGTATTTGCTGCAGTTTGTTTCTCCCCAAAACTTCTAGCCAAACCAAAGTCTGAAATTTTTGCATTCATTTCATTGTCTAGTAAAATATTACCGGCCTTTAGATCTCTATGTATAATTCTTTGTCGGGAATCTTGATGAAGATAAAGAAGCCCTCGAGCAATCCCATCGATGATATGGTAGCGCATAGGCCAATCCAATGACATGCTTTGAACTTGATCTGATCAATTTTTGACACAAATTAGATCATTAGATTGCTTATAGATATCTGAACACAATTTTCTTCTTAAAATAAAAAGGAACATTAATAAAATCAACACACAAATGAATTATTGACTTATGGTTGTTACTCCATTTCCATTGAGTGTTCTGGCTAGACTAAACTTCAAAGGTTGGAGAAAGAACTACCAAATAAAAAGAAGTCCAGACTTTTGTTAGGCATAAATTCATAGACCAATGCCTTTTCATCTGTTTGAATGCAGCACCCTAGAAGCTTCACTAAATTGCGGTGCTGAACTTTTGCAATTTGTTCAACTTCATTTTTGAACTCATTGTCTCCTTGTGTAGAACTTTTTGACAACATCTTCACGGCTATTTCTTGTCCATCCTCCAAGACACCCTGGAAAATAAATCACCAAAGATTCATTCCCTTTAGAAAACTGCAGTTTTGCTTACTGATGTCATTGCAAAGAAGTGTAACCACTGGAGTCAGCAAACAATCAACATTTGCAATGAAGATATTATAATATGTAGTTACCTTGAAGACAGATCCAAAGCCACCTTCTCCAATTTTATTCTTAGGAGAAAAGTTATTGGTTGCACGAGCAATTATTGCGAAATCAAATAATGGCAACTCAAGATCTTCCTCCTGATTCTCATATTTATAACTACTTTCTGGAAGGCCTCCCATTGAGCCTGCAAAATCCCAAAGTGTTGTGAATAAATGCCATGAGCAACCAATCCAAAAAAATGTGATTTTTGGCTGTAAAAATTACCCTTTTTCTGGTGTTTCTTCCTCCAAACAAAAAGGACCAGGGCTATGCCTACAATGACCAACAAAGTAAAGAACACAGAGCTGACTACAATCCACATCTTTTTCTTCACAGTGGATTTGTTTGCGCCCAAGCTATGAGTTTGATCTAAAACAAACCAAAGAAGAAAAGTTGTGGGTACATCTCAAGTCAGTTCTTTTGTTTCAGCATGAAAACCAACTCAAAACCCAGATCTAACTGGATCCTATGCAAGATTGAGTAAAATTTTAAAATTAAAAGATAATTATCTGTAAGTCTTACATACATTAGTTATCAGGAATAACCATTAGAATTGGTTGAAGCATTAATTCCTATTTAACATGAGAAATTACTGTTGCATACTACAATCTTAAGCAGTTTCACAGTAGCTGCTATTGCATTTTTGTCCTCTCTTTCTGTTTATGGCGAAGTTAAGCAGAATTGTGCAAGCAATTCAGCTACCATATTTCTGTAGAATATAAATTTTCTACAGAAGCTTTAGACCAGAGTATTAGACTTCGAGTTTCAAGGTTCGAGGAGAGTTTCATACCTAGTTCTGAGCTGGCCATCCTTATATAAATTGATTGTCCTCTTCCAGTGGAGTATTTAATATCAATTAGTTCACCAAACCATAGCAGGCACCCCCTTCCTCCATCTCTTATATCCAAATTAGCGTAAGCTGTGCAGGAGCAGTCCTTTGAACACTGGTTCTTGCACTCCTCAAGGTTCATGGTGTTGTTAACTAGGGATTGTCTTGAGTCTGGCAACTTTACTCCAGAGACCTCCATAAATCCATCTCCAGAACAGTTCAGTGGAGTCTTTCTAATGCACCCACCTGACCCTGGTTCCTTATCCCATTCTGTTTTGTTTTTTGGCACAAATCCACTCAAGCAACTACAAACTGGGGTGTTATTACCATTACATAAACCATATGCACCACATAATCCGTAGTTGTCACAAGTATCCTCTTGTGCTGAACGATAATGCATCCAACCTTGGGTTTGATCAATCCATTTGAAATGCTTTAAATCTCCATTCTGAGTGATCACTACCCTTGTAGGAATTGAGCTATATTGAAGGCCATGATTATATCCAAAATATACCTCTTTTGCATTAAAATCAAAGTCATTCATGAAAGTGGGGCTTGACCTCATTTCAGGCATCCCACTAAACTGCAAACTGTTCCAAGGTCCAGAGCTAAATCTCACCATGGAACCTTCTTTCAAGACCCACTCTGGAAATCCATTAATATCAAGTCCAAATGTAAAATTTCCTCGAGCAGGATCATCAAATCTTTTCCATGAGGACAGATGACGATATAGGCCTGTAACGAAGTCCTTTCCCATCTTCATACCTGGTAGCAGTGTATCACATGGATGATCAAAGCTCTGCCATAAGAAGCTTTTGCTTCTCTCATCTTTCACAACAAGGTTACCTGAATCCAGCAGCTGTACAACTGCATTATGCGCAGGTCTTGGAGAGTGGGAAGACCAAATAATTATGCCTTTACCACTGAGAATGAAAAAAATTCCCTGGTTGGTAACTTTTGCAACACCTGATGAATCATTGAGGGGAACTTCTCTGTTGGCTACCCATACAACAGTCTGGATAGATTTTTTGTACCATATTCCCAAGTATCGCTTGCCGGTACCACCCGGGCTAAAGAATCCTAGTTCAAAGATTTCACCTGCCGAAACTATGGTTTCACCATCTCTAAGGGAGTGAGTCGTATTTATGGCATCCACTATGGTGGATATAATTAGATGAGGCAGGGCAAAGAAGCAAAGAAGTATGATGAGGCCTTCCATAGAGGGAAAAATATGAGAATTCCTAGACCATTTTCCCATGTGAACCTATGAATTTCATCACAACTCAAAAGTTATCTGTATAATTCAGATACCTCAGTGCATTTTTTGCTTGGTATTAAAGCTTTCTGGTAAGGTTGGAATTGAACCCCTCATGATTGAAAATGATCCACAGAACTTTATATGTTTAACGACCAATGAAACGCGAACTATATGAATGAATTGGAATGACCTGTCAAAATAAATTTTCTTTGCCTTGCATTTCTTGTTGATTGCTTTATCTAATGGCTGATGCAGCCGTTTCGAAAACTTTTTAGTCCATAAGGGAAAGCAATAGCTCACATTTTCTTATGCTGCCAAGTGGCTTCGATAACGCCAAAAAGGGGAGCTTCAGGAAATTAAATGACAACAGAAGGCTGAAAAACTGAGGAGAAAGTGGCCACTCTTTCTATTTCACCAACATACCCTTATGAGATTCTGAAATACATGAAGTTCAGCGGATCATACCATTACTAAATTGCAAACTCTGGTTATTCTTGGACTCCTAGCTTGATGCTGCTAACCTGCAATTACTTGTGAGCATAAGACTGAAGTCCATGTCCTGTTTAACTTCACTAGCTTGCACAAGTTTAACCTGGTGAAGTGAGGCATATTTGCATCCTGTAGTTTTGAAGGTACTTGAGTTTTGATGGTGTTTCAATCTATCTGGAATTCCCCCACAAGAAATCTCAGTCGTTGAATTAGAAGATTATTGGTCATATCCCAAATTTTTTTTTTACAAAAAAATCATTGTTGGAATTTGAATCTCAAATTAAATATCATTTATTAAAAATGATTGTATAAATTAATTAATATAAACTCAAACTTCGCTCCTCCAAACGTTCTAAGATAAAAAAGAAAAAGGCAGACCCATGACTTAAGAAGATAAAAATCTCATGCAAAATTGTCAGTATGTATCTCAGCTGTAGGCTGTACCTCCTAAACTCGTGCTTGGAGCCATAGATGAGTTAATTTCCCCTCTCTCATGAATAACAACAGATCCGTTCAGTTGATGTAGTACCACTGACCTAATCGTGTGGAAATCCACGTTTTCTAAAATGTTTGGTCCACATGGTAGATGGATGGATGGATAGAGACTTATAGGATGTTTGAAGTTTCTGAAGTCCGACCCACTTTGTAGGCCGGTCTGTTACCTGCCACAATAAAACTACCGAGTATTTTCAGGTGAGAAAATTCTTCTTTTCTCCACCCACAATTTTCTTTTCATTTTTTCCACACAAGTAAACACAAAAAGAAACCTAAAAAAAAAATCCTTCTGAAAACTGATCCTTGAAAATTTTTTATCCTTTCTAATTCGGAGACGAGTTTCAGATTATACAACTAATACCCAAGCTCAAGTAACTATAGTCTAATCAGTTATTCAGTTCAAGAATATCATTAGTAAAACAAATTTACTATAGGAGAAGGAAAAAAATTTATCAAATAATTTTGTTGATAGTTTTCTCTAACCAAAAAAAAAAGGGGAAAACTTGAAAAACCAACCTCCGGAAGAAGAAAAGAGGAAGATGAAGGGCAAATCAATTCTAAAAACCATTTATTAAGGTAAGGTTTTATTTAAAATTTTTTAAATTTTCATAATTTATATAATTTTTTACAAATTTTAATTTATATTTTTTTATCTTTTTATCTTTAAAAATATTCCGACAACCTTACGGTAACAATCTAGCTAAATTATAAGTACGAATGAAAATGTCTTTTCAAGATTTTTTTAATGATATATTTGGTATTTCATTTGATTACGTAATTTAAAAATATTTAATATTTGAAGTTTTTTATTTTTGAATTTCTAATAATTACAGACTTCAAATTTGAGTTCTCAAAATTTTATATTTTGATAGCTAATTTGGTTTAACTTTATATGTTTTTTATAGTGTAAAATATGAATTTTTTAATAATATAATTAGTTTTATTCAAATGATTTATAAACTAAAAGAATCGAAGCCTCAAAGTATACTTCATAAATCTAAAACCTAAAAAATATTGATTATTTGTGATAATTTGTAAAATTTTGACTTAAAATTATTTTTGTTGAAATAAAATTTTGAATTGTATATATTACATTCCTCCGTTAAATTATTGCTTTCCTTTGTCAATACAAACTATGGGATGTCGAGATTCTATGGGTTAAAGTTCCTTTGTCAATACAAACTATGGGATGTCGAGATTCTATGGGTTAAAGTAAGCAAGATGATTTTATGCAAAATTTTCAAAACTTAAAAAGGTTTTTTTTTTAATTATTTTAAAAATTAGTAATAGCCAATATTTCATATATTTAGTTATAAATTATTTGAATTTTAGTTATATTATTTTTAATAAATTTTTACTCATTTTAATAAATTTTTACTTATTTTAATTCCATAATAATAGTATTGTTAAAAGACTATTAAATTATTTTAGATTTATAAAAAAAATTATTACTATTAAATGTTAAAAATTAAATATTTGTAAAAATTTGTATTGTTATTGATTTTTATTTTTAATCATTAATTTTATATTTATACTCAAATTTAAGTATTTTGTTATATTAAAAGAAAATTTATTTTATATTCTAAAATAAAATATTTTTAAATAGTTTCGAATTGTTGAAAAAGCTATCATACAACCCATTTGCTTAAAATGACTTATGAAAAGTTTCCCTTATTAAATTTATGCTTTGGGGTTAAATTTTAATTTTTGAATTTTTTAGAATTATTAAGATACTAAAAGAATTGAGTGATTTGATGATTAAGTTTCGCTTTAATACATCAGGTAAGTGACTTGATATTTTTTCAGTTTTTATGCCCATAAAAATCAGTCTCAATATATGTAGAATTGAAATATTTAATATATATTATTTTGTTCATTTGTTTTGTAAATTGAGTTGAGCATGCAAAATGTATATATGATTTTTTCGTTATGAGTTTGGAGTATGGTTTGATATTGTTTTGATTTTCAAATATGATTTTATAACAATATATTTATATATCCATCGTTTGTTAGAATATAAAATTTTGCTTTGGAATGATTATGAAATTTATTTTATATGGATTATATTGTAAGAAAATTTATAAATATTGAATTTGTATATGTTGTGTAATCTGAAAATATATTTTATTTTTTGTCTCCTAGTATGACTATGTTTTGACCTTGCCAATAGGAGTTAATTGTTGGTCATGTCGACATATACTTTGTGATATCAATACTGGTTTCAAACTGTGCCATCAGTGAGAATAATGGTTTTTGTTCACCTTACCATCGGAGATATACTTCTATCCTGTTTTCACTAATGGGGTTATTACGAGATACTTCTGTCCCATTGCACTAAAAAATTATTGTGATTTTTGTTCTATCCCATTGCACTAATAGGTTAATTATAATTGTTAGTGCAATGATCTAGTTGCTTCTGATATATTTCTGTCCCATTACACTATAGAGGAAATTTTGATTCTGACTTACACCATAAGGGTTAAGTGTTGTCATAGTATGTTATGGGAGAGTAATAAAATTTATAATTTTGTGATATTTAATTTCATTTTGTAATTTGAGAATCTGATTTTGAAAATATGTTTGTGAATACAAGATTACCCAAAATATTTTTGAATCATTTAATTAATGTTTTGGCATAAATGTTTTATGGCATGCTTAATCCAACTGAGAATATGTCGATTACTTGCTCAATCATCATATTTATTCTTTTTAATTTTCTTACTTTTCAAATTTTGATATTTGTATCTTCGGGACTTAGTTTTAACAAGAGATTATGTTTCAAGACCTTATCTATCCTTTGTCATCATATAGCTTGTAATTTGAGTACCTTAATATAATAAAATTAGAATATTATTGTATTTTTCAATCAAGTGTAACACATGAATTTTAGAAACTTAGGTTTGTAAACTATAAATTTCAAATACCTTTTGGAATTTGATTTTGAATTAGTATGATATTTTAAAGTTCGATTAGTATGATATTTATTATCTTGCATGCTTGTAGAATTCATCTCATAAGTGTGCGAAATTGTTACATTCTAAATCTTCGAGTTTGAGGGCGTGACAATACTAATTGCCAACAACATTGAATATCATGCTTTAGGCAAGAGGACAAATGTGTGTGCTTGAATAATTTTATTAACTATCGGAGAAGAAATGAGGGAAGTAAAGAGCTATCCAGACAAAATCAAAAGCTATCAGTAGTGGTTTTAGCTTTGGTATAGTATTTCATGGAGATATCCGTGGAAAGAATAATAGACACAAAAATGTTGACCTTAATGGCACCCCCTAATTTTGCAAATGCTTCACTTTCCAGGGTATATTACTAGATGGACAACAAATTGCCTTGAAGACGCTTTCAAGGAGTTCAAGACAAGGATTGTATGATTGAAAGAAACGAAATGAAATTGATTGTCAAGCTTCAGCATCATAATCTTGTTAAAGCTTTTCTGCTTTTGCATTCAAGGAGAGGAGAAAATGCCAATTTTACAAACTCATGACCTGTTAAGCCTGGATTTCTTCATAATCCAGTCTGGATCACTCACAAATCTACGATGTATTTTTCACTTAACTCGAAAATTTTACAAATCTATCTCATAAAAAATGCTTCACTAATAAGAATTTAAATTTTTATTTATATAACATAACAGATATCTATGACTGAAGTGTTACGATATGTAGTTCTAATATTAGGTGGTGAGAGTGCATTACAACCACCAAACTATTCTAATGTTAGTTGGTATGGATCAAAGGAAATTACTGTCACACTGTTGGAGGCTTGATGCAGTAGTTCTTAACTATAATGGCACATTATCATTACCAAATGAATTCCCTGAACATATTTTGTACCTTATATTTCTACAAACATTTTTCTTCTTACAGTTGCTTGTGAAAATGGGAAGAAGAAATATCATCCACCATGCTTGCAGTACACTTGATTTTTTATTTTATTTTTTGTAGAAAACCTTAAACTGTTTGTGAATATCCAGGTGATTGTACAGATGATAAACATGAACTAATCTCTTTTAACTCTATTCCAATCTTTCAATAGACTTGTTTCCACAATTTGTCTGTAAGAAAGGAGACTTGGGACAATGAAGTGGCTTCAATCAGAAGAAAAGTTTTTTGTTTTAGATTTAAATTGAGCTTTGAACTCTTGGGGTGTAACAGATTGTGTTGCTCCACATCCTAAACGACATTATAGAAGTAGAATAATGAAATTAAAAAAAAAAAATTAATGCATTGAAACTTGATAAAATAAAAAAATAATTATAAAAGAAGAATAATGAAATTAAAGATAAAATATATTATATAAATAAAATATACAATATAGGTATCATAAGATTTGTAAAAATATATAAATATTATTCATAAAAGGATTATATTATTAATGAATTTTAAAATTCAATATAATATTTAAACTTTAAAAATTTCTATCTAAATAATATATTTGTTAACTATTTTGATATCCATCTTTAACGCGTTTAACTTCAAATGATGATATAAAATGGATAAATAATCCGTCAAAAAATTATTTAATATATTGATTATTCATATATTATATTATAGATTTTTAAAGTTAAAATATTATATTAAATATTTGATTATAATTTAAGAGTCATTCATGATATTAACTTTTAATAATATAAAAAAATAAATATATATTAGAGTTAAATAAAATAATATTTTTTAGTTTTATATTTTATGATAATCTATATGCAATAAAAATTTAAAAATTTAGAGAAATTTTAAAAAACGATCTATTTATATGAAATTTTAATAGAAAATTTGATACACTTAAATTGTCTTTTAAGATTTCATTTAAATCTTAAAATTCTCTCATATTTTGATTTAAACAAGAAAATTCAAAAGATAAACTCATAGGTGACCTATAAATTATATAGATATATATATTTGTTTAATAAATGTTTACAACCTAAGGATAGATGAAATTTAAAACTTAATCTTAATCAATATTAATTTTTTAAGAATGATTATGTAACCAATTAAGCTTTAAATTAGCCTACAAATTATATTTAATGAGCTAAAATTATCTGTTAAAAAGTCTGCTGAAAGATTCGATTTTAAGTAATCATGCTCATTTAATTATAATTATTGGGAAGAAGATTTGGATGACATTTTATCCAAGTCTAGAAATGTACTTTTACTAAATTACTTAGCACCCTGAATGGGTCTTGCCTTCATGGCTAGAGTCATAGGTTCACTGTCTTGTAGTGTAAACGGAAATTATTTTACTGGTTTTCTTTGGTTTTCCTTTTTTGTATGATACAAAACCAAATGTAAATTTCCCTGATTTTTGTGAAACAAAGAATTATTGTTGGAGTCGGCGGTATAATCTAATTTGAATCGATGTAATAATAAATTTAAATTTAAATTTAACTTAAATTTAATATTTAAAATTTGATCAAATTTTATTTTTTTTATTTCGAATTTAATTCAAAATAAAAATTAAATTATTTTAATTTATTCGATTAAATTTAATTAATATATAAAAATAAATTTAATTTTTATATTTAATAAAAATTTAATTATTTATACTCAAATTTAAGTTTAAAATATTTTATTAATTAAAATAATTAAAATATAAAAATTTTTACGAATAAACCTGAATTAAATATAAAAACATTCAAATTTTATTCTATTAATAAATTAAATTATTTATATTTGAGTTTTACTCGTGATAACGAAACTGAATTCAAATTTTATTTAAATCTAACCCGATTACTAAAGCAATTTATTCCTCTAGTTGAGCTGCATCAGGCAGGCACGATTCTGGTTGACGGTTTTGTACTTTTTTAGCAAAAACGTCTATGTCTCTGACTCATCTTGTTTGATTGATAGGAGTGGTTAGCCAATAGCCAATGCAATTCAATTAAAATATATAAAAACCTCATTGACTGGGACAAAGAAAGCGAGAAATATTAATAAACAAAGTTGGTTTTACTTTCCCATTCTTCAATCATTCAAGATAATTTGCAAGAAGATCTGCTTGTTATTGTTGTTTCCTTGACAAATTTTGCCAGAAATTAAGACCCTCTAAGGATAGAATCAGAAGTACCAGCTTACTGCCACACTTGATTTCTTTCTTCCTTAAAGGATCCAAGGTGATTGATTTGCTGTTCGTTCAGTTAACCTTCGTGCTTCAACCAGGTACTTCTACTCTTTCAATTTGTTCTTGAAATTGTTTGTTAAATGTCTTTTGTTGGGATATTTGCTTGGATCTTTGATGTTTATTATTATTAAAAATGGGTTTCTGTTTTTTTCCTTTTTATTTTTTCTTTATATTTAAGATTGTCAGGATTTTAATGAGTCCACCATTGCTAGACTGATATGGATAAGGTTAGAAATTAAAATGTAAACATTATTCTTATTGTAACAAAACTTTATTTTCGCTTTTGTTTTCTTCCTTTAGAAGAACAGATGAATGCTCAATCTTTCTTCATGTTGGGGTTTTTCTTGCTATGTTATTCCCGTATTACATATAATTTGATGCTGTGTTGATTACTGGTATGGGGGCTGATTCTGTTTCCTTTAGTTGAATATTGGGTTCTTCTCTTTTCATGCTCACTTCATGTTTGACAATTGGCTTATGTGAAGCTTAAAGCTCCGATCTTTAAACTTCTTACAGTTTGGCTGACTCTCAGCAGTCGGTTGCATCATTTGTAATATTTTGTAATATCTTGGTTTTATTGAATTTGGGTTGAAATATTGGTTTGGGTTAGGTTATGTGTTGATGATGATCATCCCTGATTTTAATTGATGCATCCTTTGTATTTCTTCCTTATTAATAAAAATACTTCTTGCCTTAAAAAAAAACTAACATTATTTATGTAACATATTCCATATATAATAGCATATGTAAAATATAGATTTTTGCATCTTATATTATATGGAGATATAATCATACATTGGTTTTAAACAACAGGGAGTAGCTTATAATTATGGAGTTTGTAGAGCCAATTCTCGAAGCGATAAAGTGCTTGGGCTATCCAACCTCTAGATACATAGATCATCACCGAAAACTTGAAGAAAATATGAATGATCTTAGAAGAAGAGTGGCTGAAGTAAATACTCGAAAGCAAGACCTAGAGTTGAGAAAGGAAGCAGAGATTCGTTGTAGAAAAGTGGTGAAGAAAGAAGTAGAGAACTGGTTTGAAGATGTACTAAGGGTAAACACTGAAATGGAAAAGATTGAAACAAAGTTTCGAGTTGTGTCATACTTCTCACGTGCTCGCTTAGGAAAACTTGTTTGCCAAAAGATTGAAGAAGTTGATAGAATTTACCAAAAAGGTAGTTTCCCTGAAGGTGTGGCAGTTGAAGGGCCTCCACCCATTGGGGTGACATTACCAACAACAAATTTAGAAGGTGAAATGGATGTAAAAGAACAAATTTGGGAGTATTTGATGGGTGATGAGGTTGGAATGATTGGGGTAGGTGGGATGGGAGGCATAGGAAAAACTGCCATCATGAAACATATTAATAATCAATTGTTGAAGCAAAAACTGTTTGATGCAGTGATTTGGGTCACTGTATCCAGAGAATTCAATGCTGAAAAATTACAAGGAGATATTGCATGTGCTTTAGATTACTGTCTTCCTAAAAATAAACTGGAATGGCCAACTGTACTAATGGAAATCTTGGAAACAAAGAGATATGTGCTGATCTTAGATGATGTTTGGGAACAGTTTTCTCTATTGGATGTGGGGATCCCTGAACCAACATTACATAATGGGAGCAAATTGATAATCACAAGCAGATTAATTGAGGTTTGCAATTCCATGGGTTGTAAGGTGTTGAAAGTACAGCCTCTTTCGCTGATGGCATCCTTGAAGTTATTTTTGCATCAGGTGGGGGATGGTATTCTACAAGATCCAGCTTTAAAAGAAATTGTGACCCTTATTGTTGAACAATGTGGAGGTTTACCACTTGCCATTGTGACTATAGGCAGTAGCATGAAAGGGGTGAATGATACTTGTGAGTGGAAGAATGCACTAAATGAATTAAATGAAAGGGTTAAAAGTGTCAAGGGATTAGATACCAAAATATTTGAGCACCTGAAATTCAGTTATGACCGTTTGAAAGATTCAAAAATTCAGAATTGTTTCTTATATTGCTCTTTGTATCCTGAGGATTATCACATTGAAAAGGAGGAGTTGATTGAAAAATGGATAGATGAGGAACTCATTGATGAATTAGAGACTAGACAGGCCATGCATGACAGAGGTCATTCTATTTTAAATAAGCTTGTAAATAACTGCTTGTTAGAGGGGGTCATGATTGATGGTGTCAAGCTTAAGGAAGGAGTGAAGATGCATGATGTTGTAAGAGACATGGCGTTGTCTATTAAAATAGGTTGTGATCAATTTATGGTAAAAGCTGGTGTGCAATTGGAGGAGATACCAACTGAGCATAAATGGAAAGAGAATCTTGAAAAGGTTTCCTTGATGGATAATTTAATATCAAAAGTTTCTCAGATATCACCAAAATGCCATAATTTGTCAACCTTGTTTTTGCAAAAAAATCATATCCTTGGAGAGATTTCAGAATCTTTGTTTGACCACATGAACGGGCTAAAGGTTCTAGATCTTTCTCATACTATAATTTTGGATCTACCCAATTCCATTTCTAACTTGGAAAATCTTGTTTCCCTGAGACTTCGACATTGTTTCAATTTAAGATATGTGTGTTCGTTAGCGAAGCTTAAAGCCTTGAGAAAGTTGGATCTTTTTAATACAGCTATTAAGGAGGTTCCTCATGGTATAGAAATGTTAACAAACCTTACATATCTTGATCTATATTCACGGCATCTAAAGGAGCTACCAATTGGAATACTATCGAGCTTTCCTAATCTCCAATACTCAAAAACTTGGTTGAATATAAAAGGAGAGGAAGTAGCCAAACCGAGGAAGCTGGAGATTCTTTTAGGACTCTTTTGTGAGGTGCAGGACCTTGAGGGATATGCCAAATCTTTATCGGGTCAAGGGCCAACCAAATACTGGCTTGGAGTTGGATCACCTAAGTTTGGCTATTTTGATAACCATACTTGGTTCCGTGATGTTGAAGATGTTGAAGTTGATAAAGAGGTATGTTTTATTAATTGCGAGATAGGGAACGAAGATCTTGTGCTGCTCCCAAATGATGTTAGGACTCTGACTGTTCAACACTGTCAGAATCTCAAAAACTTGAGCAATGTTTCTTTGTTCCATGAAGCCAATGCATTGAAGACATGTACTATTAGTTGGTGTGAAGGGATAGAGTGCGTGGTTGATTTGGCATTATCATCTTGCAACTCATTGCAGAACATTGAGGTTCTAAGTCTTAGAGATTTGCTGAACTTGCTTGAACTTGTGAGAGGAGTAGCGGTTGTATCTACATCTAACACTCCAACACTACCTGCCATCTTCTCTTCTCTTAAAAAAATGCATTTGATTGGTTGTTCAAGTATAAAGAAATTGTTTCCAGTTCAGCTGTTGCAGGGCTTCCAAAACTTGGAGTATATTGAAATTTCTCGTTGTGAAAAACTGGAGAAAATAATAGCGGAAGAAGAGGAAGAAAATCAGAAAGTAGAAGAAAGGGGTCCTAAAACAACAGTATTTATTTTACCCAAATTACAGACGTTGCACTTGATCAATTTACCGGAATTGAAAAGCATTTGTGGTAGCGGAGTTATGATTCCTGCAGAGTCTCTCCAATATCTTTCAATAATAAATTGTTCAAAGCTAAAGAAGATCCCTTTCTCAATACCCTTGCTTGAAACTGGGCAACCTTCTCGTCCTCCTCTCGAGTATGGCTACGTTCATCCAAGAGAATGGTGGAAATCAGTGGAATTTGATGATCCTAATGCTAAGGATGTCCTTTCACCCATTGTTTTAGACTCTTTAGAAGAGGCTGAAGATTAAGATCCTGATGATGGCAATCATCGGTGGTAAGTCCTCTTCTTCCTTCAAACTGCAACTTAACATTTCAATTATCAACTTCTTTCCTTGTATGTACATTCTATTTTTTAGTATGGCTTTTTAACTGTTAAGACTTGGAATAATTGGGACACCTGGGCCTTGGCATAAAAGAAACTCATAATTTTGCTATTGTTACTTTCCCTTTCAAGGTACATTATCAGATGGATGACAAAATTACTGTGTAAAGGCTTTCAAGGAGATCTAAAAGCTAGTAAGTTCTGCTTGATAGTGAGATGAACCTGAAATTTTCTGATTTTGGCATGGCAAGAACTTTTGGAGGAAACCAGATTTTTCTTCTCACCAGAGTCCCCCTGAAGCAGATACCTTCATGTAGCAAAGATAGATCATCTTCAACAAATGAAATAAGTGTATCACTGTTAGAGGCTCAATAGAGAGTTGTATGCTTAATTACATCTATTATTGAGCTCCAAACTTTCAGTAAGATTATGACTGTTGAAAACAATTAATGTTTGCTTGGGTCCTTTGATGTTTATTGTAATAGGAGCATGGTGGATAAAAGTCATATACCATTAGTGAATGATTATTCAAATGAATTTTAAATATAACTTACATGTGGTAGCAATATTATTTAATTAAATCAATAAAAAAAAAAGCTGACACCCTAAAAAAATTTAATAAAAGAAGAAAAATATGTACATGCATGTGTCAATACAAGTATGATATTTTTATTATTTTTGTAAAAATTTGATGGTCATATATCGTTGCTTTTGATAAAAATTAATAATTATATCTAATATTTGGTGGTAATATTAACTTTAATATATGTTTCATAAATAGATTGTGATTTATAGGGTTAATCATAGTACAATTGATTGGGAAAAGAAAAAGGATCCTCAGATTTTCAACCTAAAAAATTTTAAACTGTACTATAGTTTTTGGTCCTCGCATTTAAGAGCTCTCCTACCCACATGACAGTTGAGGGACAGCATTTACTATAGGATAGCTTTTATGGTATCCATAAACTGCTGGAAATAACTGATAAGTGCCAAGTAGAGCAAATACAGATAAAGGTCTTTTCAGGGAAGACTTGCATACTAGTCAGCTGTCATCAGTTTAAATGTAGTATTAGCTTTCTAAAATCTGCCAAACACAAATGTTCTTCCATGAGTTTCATAATATTTGAAACCAATGGACATTCTGTCTTTCATGTTCACCAACACCGTTTTACTAATAGTATTGTTTTCAGGTTTTGCTGATGCAATTGATATCTTCACCTCCTACCAGTCTGTTAGTGATGGCAGAACCTTAGTTTCAAGAGAGGGAATCTTTGAGCTTGGTTTCTTTAGTCCTGGAAGCTCTAGGAATCGTTATTTGGGAATTTGGTACAAGAAAATACCAGTTCAAAGTGTTATTTGGGTTGCAAACAGAAACAATCCTATCCATGACACAACTGGTTTGCTGATAATAAACAGAAAAGGTAATCTTGTACTGCTCAGTCGAAGAAATGGTGTTGTTTGGTACACCGACATAAAGAAAGGAGCACAGAATCCAGTAGTTCAGCTCTTAGATTCTGGAAATCTTGTCATGAGAAGTGAAAATGAAAGTAATTCAGAAACATTTTTGTGGCAAAGTTTCGATTATCCATGTGATACATTACTACCAGGGATGAAGCTTGGATGGGACTTGAGGACTGGTCTTGATCGGCGTCTTTCAGCCTGGAAGAACTCAGATGATCCATCACCTGGAGACTTCACAGTTGGTGTTGAGCTCTATCAATATCCTGATATTGTTGCAAGGAAGGGCTCAAATGAATACGTTAGGACAGGGCCCTGGAATGGCCTTAGATTCAGTGGATCACCCATCTTAAGGCCTAATTCCATTTTTGAGAATGATTTTGTGTGGAATGAGCAGGAGGTATACCAAGTATATAATGTCAAAAATAAATCACTGATCTCAAGATATATGTTGAACCAAAACACCTATCAGGGTCAGCACTATATATGGATCGAAAAAGCTAGAAGTTGGATGATGATTACGTACATACCAAGGGATATCTGTGACAGCTATGATCGCTGCGGTCCATATGGGATTTGTGTCAGTACTGAAGTGCCTCCTTGTCAGTGTTTAAAAAGGTTCAAACCTAAATCATCACAGAATTTGTACACAATGGACTTGAATCCAGGTTGTGAGCGCAGTAAACCACTAAACTGTCAGAAAGGTGATGGGTTCATCAAATATTTTGGACTGAAAGTGCCAGATACCGCAAATTCATGGGTAAACAGGAGTATGAGTTTCAAGGAATGCAGAGCTAGATGCTTTCAGAACTGTTCTTGTATGGCATACACACCCACAGATATTAGAGGGGAAGGCAGCGGTTGTGCCCTTTGGTTTGGTCATCTAATTGATATTAAACTAGTTCAAGATGGTGGTCAGGATCTATACATCCGAATGTCTGCCTCTGAAGTAGGTAAGAATTTACCATTGGTTTTGTTGAGCATTTGAGTGTTCCCTTCAAAGATCAAACGATTCCGTGCTATAGCTAAATTTCATTTGTTCTTAGTTCTAATTCAACTTCCTTTTTGCCTTTGATTTATTGAAAAATCCCTGAAGAGCCAAAAGGTCATAATAAGATGAAGATAGCAGTCATAGTTCCAATTGCCATTTTCATAGTTGCTGGTTTGCTTTTTGTCAGCTGTTACATTTGCAGAAGCCGTGCAAGCCTAAAAGGTAACATTCTTTTTTTCTATTTTCTTTCACAAATCACGTTTTCACTATCCTTTGGATTGATTTGGCGATTTAGTGATTGTTCAGAAATATGTTTGACCAACATGATATAGCCTTCTATGGCTAATGTTAGCATGTTGTAAAATGTTTCAGGGTTTAGAGAAAACCATGTGATAACTGACAGAAGCATTGAAGGGCAAGGAGAAGACTCAGAAGTCCAATTATTCGACCTAGCATTAATAGCGAATGCAACCAATGACTTCTCAACTGAAAACAAGCTAGGACAAGGTGGTTTTGGGCCTGTGTACAGGGTAAATTTGAAACATTCTGGTGAAAATGATCATTATACCAAAAAAAAAAATTTAGAACAAAGTTTGAACTCTTTAATTACATTGTTTTCAGGGTACCCTGGCAGATGGACAAGAAATTGCTGTTAAGAGGCTTTCAAAAAGCTCTGGACAAGGTTTAACTGAGTTCAAAAATGAAGTGGCACTAATAGCCAAGCTTCAACATCGAAATCTTGTAAAGCTTCTCGGATGTTGCATTCAAGGAGAAGAAAAGATGCTGGTGTATGAATATATGCCAAACAAAAGTTTGGACTTCTTCATTTTCGGTACCGATCTCTCAAAAATCCTATAAATTCTTAGCACTAGTGTATATCAGAAAGAGTTCCTTAATTTTAACTTTTACTCCAAATACAATGTTTCAAAAGGTTTAGTTAGTAGATTAACTAATGTGAGTTTGAAACATGCTAGAAAAAACAAGAAGCAAGTTACTAGATTGGCCTAAGCGTTTTAATATTATCTGTGGAGTTGCTCGAGGGCTTGTCTACCTACACCAAGATTCTAGATTGAGGATTATACACAGAGATCTCAAAGCTAGTAATGTTCTTCTTGACATTGAGATGAACCCCAAAATTTCAGACTTTGGCATGGCTAGAACTTTTGGAGGGGACCAATTTGAGGGGAACACAAATAGAGTGGTTGGAACTTAGTAAGTAGCCATGTGCTTTTATGTTTTTACTTCAATGAATTCACCTCTAAAATTTCATTGATGTCTTTTCTTTTGATGATTTTTTTTTGAAGTGGTTATATGGCACCAGAATATGCTATTGATGGGCAATTCTCAGTAAAATCAGATGTCTTTAGCTTCGGAATACTGGTGCTGGAGATAATCAGTGGGAAGAAAAATAGAGGGTTTTACAATCCTGGTCATGGCCTTAACCTTATTGGACATGTAAGTATAAAAACTTGCTTTTTAATGTACCTTGGCCAGCAAAAACTGATCAAACTTTAATAACTTGTCTTAGGCTTGGGAGCTGTGGAAAGAAGGAAAGCCCTTAGAACTGATTGATCCTTTGTTAAAAGAATCATGCAATATATCAGAAGTGATACGGGGTATCCATATTGGTCTCTTATGTGTGCAACAACATCCTGAGGATAGGCCAAGCATGTCATCTGTGGTTCTGATGTTGGGTAGTGACACTGAATTGATTCAACCAAAACAACCCAATTTCCTGATCGAAAGGAAATTGCCTGAAACAGATTCTTCATCAAGCAAGCTTGAATCTTCTTCAACCAATGATATTAGTATGTCAATATTGACAGGTCGATAGAGGTTTCTTGAGCTATACACACCAGGCTGTGTAACTTTCCCTGATTTTTGTGATAAAACCAAATTGTAAATTTCCATGATTTTTTGTGAAACAAAGAGCTTAGGTAGACTTTCTACTGTAGACTAGAGAAGTTCTGAATCCTTTTAACCATCAAGCTTTTCATGTTTGATCTCTGATGTTAATCTTAACCGGATTGGAATTATGAGTATCAGAAATCAATTGTACTAATATACTTTGAACAGGAATATGATCAAAATTTATAAACTGTCCTGGGCTTGGGAACCGTGGAAAGAAGGAAGGCCTTTACAACTGATTGATTAATTTTTACATGAGTCATGCTTTCTGTCAGAAATGGCAAGGTGAATCCACATAGGTCTCCTATGTCTGCAAGACTGCAAGAGCACCCTAAGGATAAACGGAACATGTCATCAGTGGCTCTGATGTTGGGCAGAGAGACTGCATTGATACAACCCAAAGAACCTGGTTTCTTGATAGACAAGTAGTCATTTCAAACATATTGTTCTTCAAGCAAGCTTGAATCATCCTCAACTAATAATATTGGTATCTCACTATTGGAGGCTCGATAGATAATTCTTGAGCTTTCAAGCTAGCAATTAAATTGTATCGGTTCCAGGCCTCCCAGCAAAAGAAATATCTCACTCATTTAATTGCTAACTTGGAAGCTCCAACGCCTGAAGTCCTGGAAATTTATCAGCTCATTTTGATTGCTAAAATGACAGTTCATGCCGCAAAATTGATTTAAGTTGCTACTTGCCAAAAGGGTTGCCATAGCAGACAGAAACTTTCTTGGATTGCACTCATGTTGGCTAGTGCCTTGGATATCATTATTAATTTGCCTCGTTCAATGAGATATGCAATGTACTGAATTCTTGGAAGTGCAATGTGATGAATACTTTATCTATTTCTCTATTATTCACTGTAATAATAATGCCAGCGCTGTTTCCCCTTATGGTTAACATTGAAATACAATTCATTGATAGAAACCAGTAACATTTTGACAGTGTTTATCGAACAAAATAGATAGACCTCATGATGTTGCTTTCAAGCAATTTCAAGCCTAGTTGAAATAGGAATTCTGTGCAATCTCATCATTTGTAAATTGCATCAACTCGGAAAGGAATATTACTTCTTCACTATTTTAATGTATGTACAGTTCTTATTCGTGTAAATGCAACTAAAAGAATGCATGACCAACCCTCTATGACTGGACTTGAACTGAAATCATTGATGTCATTAACCATAAACTGTGATGCTGCTCCTGTGGCAGGGTCTGTTGCCTAATACCATGAATGTTGATTAATGTCATAAATGAACCATCAAACTTTTGCTGCATATTGATCCAATTTGTTGAAAGAGTAGCTAAGATTCTTAACTAGTGACAGATCAAGAAGTTTAGTTCAACATTTATATCATGCAAAAATGACAGAGAAATACCATATTCTGTGCCTCCTTAAATGTGAACATATGGACTTTTATCACTTCAGAGATGGCGTGAAAAAATACATTTTGGATCATCATCCGGGAAAGGATAAGCATAAACTATTTTTTTCAAGAAAATAGAACTGAATGTGAATGCAAAATGCTATAACTTGATGTTGATGCTGACCATTTCCAGGCTGAACATTCAATTTTTCACCAATAATTAATGCAGCAGAAAAGAAAAAAAAAATAAAAGAAAAACAAAATGGTGGGCATCAGGTTTCATTTCTCAAGCTGAAATTGGATTCCAGGACTTGTTCAGGGCCCCCAATTCTTTAGATATAATTCCTGATATAAACATACCAGAAAAACATATAGATAGTCCAAAAAGGTTGCTAGGTAACAGGAAGGAAAGTGCTGGTGAGCTGTAGAACATCCTGAGGGCTCCAGGGATATGCAATTTTTTTGCCAAAAAAGGACCACTTTTGCCTGTCATCTGTCTTTGTTTTAATCATACAGGTAACATCAATTTAGAGTTAAGCAAGGAAGACAGCTGGTCAAATTTTTATAACTTCGTAGCCACGATGGTTACTCCAGTTGGTAAGGGAAAGAGATCAATTTCATTGTCAACCAGATTAAAATCTTTGTCAAGAACATTCTGAAACTAAAATTTTAAATGCCTCAAGTAGATATGAAAGAGTGCATCCTTAAAATTAGGCTCGGAAATACTCTGTCTATATCATCAAATAAAAGATTGAAACATTATGGAAAGGGGGTAACAAGGTGAGGGATCCGTGAAGCAAAAGCGAATTTTCCATTCTTGGGTAGGCCTTATCCCTTGTGGGAAAAATTTTGAAGAATGATATGATTTCACATATGAAGGTTCCTGTTAGTTCAAGGGAAACCCCCATGCTTTCTTTTCAGTATATGGCAAAGTTTGTCTTTTTTTTTTTTTAGCATGACCCCAAAAAAACCCAATAAAATATTTTTAAAAAATGTGACAAAGGACCATCTTAAAAAGTTACGGGCAAAATCAAATTTCTCCTTCAAAAAGTTAAAGTATGGAAAAATCAACATCTTCATCTCACTTTTTAATATTAACATAAAAAATATATATAATTCAACAATAAATTAATATTTAATACAATTCACAAACAAAATTAATAAAATAAAACATATATATATAATTCATAAACGAAATTAATATAATTTTACTGTTTGATTTAGTGATCAAAACAATATTAAAGAAGACATCAAAGTTGAGATTCGAATCTCAACATTCTTCTTCTCCTTTAATGTAGGGTTCTGCCCCTTAAATGAAAAAAAAAATATATATATATATATCTCTTAAAAATATTTTAAAATACAAAAATTAATTAAAAAATATATATATGGCATTCTTAATATAACTAATATAATTAAAATTCTATTATAATAATGTATCAAATATTAATTTGTTGGATAAAATCATTATTGTTGTTATGATGGGTTTGGACCATTGGACCATGGAAATATTTTTGTAGCATCAAATGTATGAGAAGGAGTTGGATTTTGCTGACTAAAAAGGGTGACTTGGCTTCTCAAAAAGCTAATCATTTGTGAAAAATATAATTTTAATAATAAAAAAAACTTCTGATAATTTTTTTCAACCCTGCAATTAAGCTTTGAAATTCCATTAACATGACAAAGCAAATTGCTCAAAAGCTTTTCAAATTCATTAAAGGTGGCTATCAAAGCTTTTTTCAAGTAGTTTCAGTGAGATATTATTTGCTTTAAAAAATAAAAATAAAAAGTCAATGATTAAATATATTGTTACTATGCTAAATTCCCTATCATTTTGTTTATTTATTTTTTATAATTATTATACTTTTTTCTATAAAAAAAATCTTAAGACATATATATATATTATCACATGACACTTTAATTAGGGTATAAATATACATTATCTCTAATTGTATTATCAAGATTTTTTTTTTTACAAAATTAAAATTTTTTATTTTCAATTAAAATTATTAAAATTAAAAATATTATTTTTAATTCAAATTAATTTTAATTTTAATTTTAATTTAAATCTAAAAATAAAAAATAAAAAATTTATATTAATATAAGTAAATTCCTATTTATAAATTTTTGTTACAAAAAAATTTTAAAAAACTATGTATAAAGCAATCTTTCAAATAATTTTATATTTAAATTTATCATTTTTATAATTTTACAAAACAAATTCACGTATCAAGAATCATCATCATATATACATATTAAAACTTATTTATCAATCGATTATCCTTTAAATTAATTGATATATTATTAAAATTGATATTTAAATATTACGAATTAAAATGAATTTAAATGTCTAATATTTTTTTCAATCATATATGTAATTTAATAGAGAATTTAAGGGTAGATTAGGAATTAAAAAAAAGCTCGTTTATCTAAAAATTATAAAATTAAACCTTACAAAATAAAAGAAATTAAATGGACCAACAAATTTAATAAAAGAAATTAAATGAAAAGTTATCCAATCTTTCTTTGTTCTTATGACGAAGACATAGGAAGGCATGGTCGTTGGGATTCATCATTTCTTATCAACTTTTAAATAATTATTACATCATCTTATCATCATGATTTACATTTAAATGAAGAAATCTCAAAATAGGAATCAAATTAAGATTAGATCAAAAAAATTTTAAATATAATATAATAATATAATTAAAAAAATACAAAATAGATGCAATAAAATGTTTTAAAATTATTTATTAATTTGATAAAAAAATAAAAATATATTATATTAATAATTTTTATTTTTTATTAATTTTAATATGAAATAAACAAATATAACTACTCAAATTAACCAGTTTTGCAGCAATCAATCTTCTAGATAAGTTGTACGCTGCAGTATTTAACGTGTAACGACCGCATGACAACAACCTCTCATCATTAATTTATTATTACTAATTTTTTTTTAATCCCATTAAATAAACCACCAACCCCATTTTAAAAGCTTCATGAAACGGCACCGTTTAGAAAATTAAAAAAAAAGTAAGAAATTTTAAAAAAAAAAGGCTTTAAATTAATCCAAGCTTGCAACTATAAATATAGCGTTTCGGCAACCCATTTTCCCTCATTCGTCAACAAATTTTTTTTAAAGCAAAAATATATTTAATAAAAGAGAATATTTTGTGAGTGATTTTCAGAGGAAATGGCGACCAAAGTGTACATTGTGTACGTATTATTGTTCTCTTTCACTCTCTTTTTAATTTTTTTTTAGAATTTTTTTGTCTGAAAAGCTGTTGATTCTGATCTTTGACTGTTTTTACTTTGGTTTAATTTGAATTGTGATTATTTTTCATTTTTTTAGCTTTTCTTTGACTTAATTTTTGAAAAATTAATTTATTTGCTTTGATTTGGCTCTGCAGAATTGAGTTTTTTTTTTTTTCTGTATTTTTTTACTTTATAATTTCATAGAAACTTTGGAATTTCAATTAAATATACAATAATTGGAGTAAAAATTAGTTTTCTATCGTATAATTGCAAATTCAGGAGGTGAAAAATGCGATTTTTAATTGTTTAATTTAAAAATTAAATTCCAGTTGGATACCAGAAAAGTGCAGGTCAATTTGCTTTTTTTTTTTTTTTTGGTGCCGTTGATTTTTGTAGCAGTTAGTTAAGACATATCGGATGCCAGTTGTTTCGGATTCTTTTTCGTCTAATTTTAGCTGTTTATGTCATCAATTTAGCTATTTTATGGGGCGTGATCAATAAGGTCAATTCTTCGATTAACTTGTAGTGTTCAATTTGACTCTGTTTGTGAAAAATGGGAAAAACAAAGTATGAATTGATTAGATAGTAGAAAAAATGGAAATGAACTGTCAAAAACAGCAGTTTAGTCAGAAAACCATGAATTGTTAACAAGATTCAGTCTTTTTGTATTCCTTATTAAACGAACATTTAATTGTTTGTTTTTTGTTTAAAATTTTACATGTTGCTTATAGATTGGGGTTGTTAAGAAAGGCTTTGTTTTTTGTTCTGGTTGGAAGTTTAGCATTAAAAATTCTATTCTTATACTAGCTTTTTTTATTTTAAATGTGTGCTAATACCTGTATCAAAGATGACATTGTGTGTGCATTAACAAGTGATTGTGTCTGACTGTCTGAGATGACTTGATATCTAAGACATATAATCTTTGGAAGAAACTTTTATTTGTTGAATGATAATTTGGAGGTAGGTTGTTGAGTTTAAGGTTTTTTTTTTTATTATTATTATTCACCGGCATATGTACAGGTTTTAGATGTACCAAGCATGTATCACACAATTATTCCCTATAAGTATGCTTGAGTCAATATCACAGAGTGCAGTCGCTGCTGTCTTCGCCTTTACTTGTTTGTATGTGACTTGACTGCTCCATATGTGTGATTACTGCAAGAGTTAAATAAACATTAAGGTTAAACAGGGGCTCAGGTTGAGCCAGCAATTTATTTCCTTTTGGACCAGAGCAAGTTCTTAGGAAATTAAACATATCTGAATGGTAGTAATGGGTTAAGGACTTTTAATTACCCAATCATTTTTTTTTTTTTTTGCTTATTTGACCCCTCATAGAGGTGCCTTTTCCTTATTTTTTGGCTCTGCCACAAATTTATCAAGGCTTTGATCTTCAAGCTCCCCTATTCTTTGAGTAATAGATCTGCCTGTGATTGATGGTCTAGTGTATTGTCCTCAAAGTTGTGGTTTTATGGGCACACTAAATGTTGAAATCTGATGGATTTCTTGTTTAATTGTTACATTGGCTTGCTGTGCGATTTGAACTTAGTCTTAAATGCTTGCCGATTGGTGATTGATTGTAACTGTTTTATTATGATTTCACCATTTGTCAACCTTTTGTGATTGGCAGATTGTCTCTGACTTGAACTAAGTGGACCAATGCTGGTCTTAGATTCAGTTTAAACATTGACCATAATGTTGTATGATGATGGCCAAATGCCTTCACTAGAACAAAGTTTTCATGTTCGTATCAAGATAATCTGCAACAACTGTTACCTTCCTTTTGATTACCTAAAAACATACATTAGATTAGTTATGATTGGTTCTTGAGTTTGATAAGTTATTTTTTTTATTATTTTCTTTTCTGTCAGCTTCAGTTATGCGTAATTCTTTTGCTAATATGATGAATTCTTCTGATAAAATTTTCTCACTGCTGATACAGATACTATTCCATGTATGGACATGTGGAAAAACTTGCAGAGGAGATAAAGAAAGGGGCTGCATCTGTTGAAGGTGTTGAAGCCAAACTATGGCAGGTAAGAATGTGCAACATGCTGCTGTGGACCTGTGGTTGAACTAACTAAAAGCAGCAGGCAATTTTTATTTATGGATAAGAAAAGGTTAAACAGATTTTAAACTGCAACCTAATGGTCTTTTTGTCCAGAATTTTCAAGGTTGGTAAATTGACTAGATGTCTGCTCACAAGTCATTACCTATGCTTGGTCTAAGCTGTTTCATAGTTGATTGCAATGTATATATTTTTGTGCAGCCTCTTCTTCTAATGCTTCCATTATCCTCCATTGAGCTATTTTTTAATTACTTAGTGATTTTTAAAATTTTAAGACATTTTGATATCTCCGTTTAAGAACCCTTGACCTTTTTCCTTATAAGAAATCTTAGTCAGCTATCTTATATCTTATTATCCATTGGTTTGGCACTGTGTATTCAACTTCTTCTGGTTTTTTTGTTCCACTTTTCTTTATCAATGAAATCATTGCAAATATGTTTATTTTTTGTGTTGCCATTCTCGGCAAGACAGTATGCATAACCATCCTTGCCATTCATTTGTTTAAGCAAGTTCTGTGAAGTCCAGCTGTTGCAAATTTATATAGATAAGCAGTTTAACTAGTTGTTCTTGGGCCATTGGAAGGGAAGGGTTTTCCAAGATTATTTATTGGATAGCATTTGTAGAACTGATAGATTAAATGAAGTACCTGTGGTAAATATGTGGTACAGGTCCCTGAGACTCTATCAGAAGAGATTCTGGGAAAGATGAGTGCACCACCAAAAAGTGATGTACCAATCATTACACCTAACGATCTTGCTGAGGCTGATGGGTTTATTTTTGGCTTTCCAACGAGATTTGGAATGATGTCTGCTCAATTCAAAGCATTTCTTGATGCAACTGGAGGCCTATGGAGAACTCAGGGACTTGCTGGAAAACCTGCTGGGATCTTTTATAGCACTGGATCTCAAGGTGGCGGACAAGAGACTACAGCGTAAGTTCCTAAATCACAATCTTATAATACACTTATGACACCCAAAATGTAAATGCTACGATGAAAACGTAACTTGTATCTGAATCTTTTGGAATTAATCACAGGTTGACTGCAATTACTCAGCTTGTTCACCACGGGATGATATTTGTTCCCATTGGATACACCTTTGGTGCCGGCATGTTTGAGATGGAGCAAGTGAAAGGTGGAAGTCCCTATGGTGCAGGAACCTATGCTGGAGATGGATCAAGAATGCCATCTGAACTTGAGTTGGCACAAGCTTTCCACCAAGGAAAGTACATTGCTGGCATCACAAAGAAACTCAAGGCAGCTGCCTGATTTCAGTTTACTACAAAAGTCACAATTTGTCCTTTCATTTTTTTTCTCTTCCCTCTCTGGAATTCCAATTTCCTATATTCTACAAGTTTGCAAAACAATAATTCTTCGTGCATTGGCTATATGCTTATACTTGTGTTGTACCCTAAATAGGTTTCCATTAATGGTAAAGCTTGCTCATTTATCTGTACTATTACTCGTCCGGCGCGACGGTTCTTAAATGTAATTTGGATCTTTGCTCTTTCCAATCCTTTAGCCGGATGACGAAGTAGATGAAATTGGGTGGATTGAACCTAATATTGACCTAAATTTTCTTCGTTCAAAGATGAAAATTTGAACTTGATGACTGATGGAAAGAGTTTCATACATATTAAGTTTTTTTCAATCAAAGAAATCATATTAGAGGAAACAAAAATATGTTATAAATATGATCCAAATGATGGCCTAGAAGATTTTAGATTAGGTGGCATAGTCAGGAAAAAAGTGAATGATTGTTGTAGGGATATATAGGATTAACATTATTATACCCCAATTGCTCCCTTGTCCGCCAAGTTAGTCAACACTTGCAAACCGCCGTCAAAATAACAATCAACTCGATTGGTTTCACATTCAATCAATATTAGGTAAGTAATACATCCCGAACTTCTACCTCCGACACCCTCTTGACCGTTTTCTCTTTTGCAGGTCACTCCAATCTCTTAATCAGCATCCCAACAAGCTTTCAGCAAAGCATGTCTTGCCCTAACACTAATTTTGGACAGATCTAATCCTGCTTGGAGCTGAATTCTAAGGGAGGGTTTTAGGTTTTACATCTCTTTGTCATCGAGTGGACATCTAGCTATAGAGAACTCACTACAGATTAATACACACACACACACACACACACATATATATATATATATATATACTTGAATGGATAACTGTTTTGTTCATCCATAACCCTAATCTCCCTCGTATAGCATCTTTCGTAATTGAGTACATATATAATGAGAAGTAATTGTCTCTCTTTTATCGTTTTATCAATGTCAGATGAAGTGTTTAATTACCTTAAATTTGCTATTATCATATTTTATTCCTTTATCTTTAAGCACAAAAATACCATTTCATGAATTACAAGTAATTATATCAGTGCAAACTTCATAATCTAATAAAAACTTCACTGAAAACTATATCCACCAAATCTTTTACCACATGAAGAACATGCCCAAGTGTGATATTAAATCACGTCAATATTTCATGATAATTTTCATGAAACTGAGAACGTAGAATCAAAACTCTATAATTTTGCTGTTAGGCAAGAGATGTCCATAAGAGAACTAATTCTTCTGATATAAAAGAGTATCAGAGAACCTCTTGGACATGACAAAAAAATTAAGAAAGAAAGCAAATTTAATGCCAGAAAACAAAAAAAAAAAAATGTTAGAGATATTACAAATATAGACTAAAAATCAAATCTATGAAATCTTGAGGATCACATGGAAGACTATAGAATGCTTTCCTTTTGGTAGATTCATATTATTATTATTTTTTTTGTTAGTTCAATAATACTTATCCGTCCCATAATGTTAGTCATTGATTTTCACGAAATTAAAAAAAATGTTTTAATTTTAGTTAGATTAATTGATTTTTACAAAATTAAAAAAATATATTTTGACTTTATTTTATATAATATTAAATTTATTTTTTTATAAATTTGAAGTTTCATCATTTTTAATAACAAAAGGTAAAAATATAATGAAAAATCATTTTAGAATATAAAAAATAATATATTTAAGCGTTAAAAAAAAAAGACAGTTTTCAAATATTCAAAAAAAAAAAAGGTGAACAAACAAAATGACTTGTAGGAAGTGCATATATATATATATATATATATATATATATTTCATGAAAGACATCAAATTTAGATTTAGATCTCTACATATATATTATATTATATTTACATATTCTTTCAGTATGAAATTGAGGACGTTATAATCTGCTCACAGATTTAAATTTAAATCTCTACATATATATTCACACCATATCCACATGTTTTTTCAATGTAAAATTAAAGTATTACAATCTCTCAACTTTTAAAACTTAACATCTCTGTCAAATCAAATCCAGCCACAAGATCATTATGTAATACTTAGTGACTTCCATGACTTCAGCATGTTGGATCATTATGTAGTACTTAGTGACTCTCATGATCTCACCATGTAGCACTTAGCATTTAGTTCCTACTAATTGGTAACTTGGTTCTAATACCATTTGTATAGACTTACACCTAACCTATGAGGTGTTATTTATTTTGATCCGAAGATCTTACGATTTTATCTTACAAAAAGTATCTCACATATTTGAGTTTAGATCTTCATATATATATATATATATCATACTATATTTACATATTCTTTTAATATGAGAAATTAAAGATATTACAATATATATATATTTAAAAAAATTATTTGATATATTAACAATTAAAATTTTTAATTTCACAAATAAAATTTTATATTTCAAAATTTAATATCTATTTTATTTTTATTTAAATAAAAACATAAAATTTCTCATTACATATAAATAAAATTAACATTCTTAAAAGGAACATCTTCCTTTTCATTGACTTTGTTAGAACTCTTCATGCAGTTTGAAAATTGTACTTTCAATTTCTACCTTGAAAATTTTTAAAATATTAAGGTCATCTTTTCGATACAAAGATGATGAGAGAATAGACAAATTGACTAGTGGACATATGCTTTGTCGCACCATCCCACCCGGTGGACTTGACCCTCTTTGTTCCAACATTCCTTTATCAACCTAGTCTTTTAATTTCTCTTTTTTTTTTTTTTTTCTTTCTTTAGTGTATTGAATTTTGTTTTAATCATTTACCTTGGCCCCCACTTATCCCAACCTTGATGTATAATCCTACAATATTTAAAGACTTGGTTGTGTTGGTTTCAAGATGTCTCGATAAAAATAAGAACATGAAATCAAAATACAAAAGTTGAATTAACAACAAAGATCGGAACATTTTTCGACATTTAAATCAATATTTGAGAAGAGATACAATATGTAATACCTGAAAAAAAAAAAAAAAGAGAGACTATTTTAAGTATTTTTATAAGTGGAAGGACTCTTTAATAAAGAATGAGAAGTGCAGAGGACTTATTGATAAATAATTCAATTTTCTTTTATTAATAGAATTAACTTTTTAGTTTTCAGTCGATGATTAGTCGTAATAAAAACAGAAACTTATTTCTCATATGTTTCTTATACAGAAAAGATCAATTGAAGGATTCCAAGTGAAGGGAAGAACAAATCTACAAGGAGAAATTATCTGTTAGAGGTGAGTAAATAATCTTTTTCAAATTTTGGAGTATTGATGGTTAAATCTTAAGGTATAAATTATAATCGATAAACCCTAAAATTTTAGGGTTTCCATTATCTTCTTTGGGCAAATGATTTAGACTTTAATTAGAGTCAAGTTAAGTGTTGAGAAAGTTGGTAATGTGAATTTATTGCTGAAACAGAAATTTGATAAGAATAGAAAGGAAAATCTTTGTTTCGTATAAATCTTGATATGAATCATGTGTTTGTAGTGATGAATTAAGGTTATATTCTGTATTAAAGGGTTAAATACTACTATGATTACTATATATGGTTGGAAAGCATGTTGAATCTACTTTCTAATGAAACAAACGAGAGTCGAATTCGAGTTCTCTATGAAGAGTTATCCAATTTTTACCTAAGGAGGTGCAGGCTGCCTAGTAGCAGCAGTAAGGGGGAATTACGAAATTTCCCTAAATTTTTATACAAGGATTTACAGTTTAAGCCATAAATGTTTGGAAAGCTTATCGAGTCTACTTTCCAATGAAATAAGCGAAATTGAATTTGGAGTTACCTATGAATAAATGCGTAATTTTTATGAAAAGGTATACAGGCTGTCTGGCAGCAGCATATGACGTGGATTTCAAAATTTGTTCTAATTAATCCACAATGAATCACGAGATGAGCCATATATGGTTAGAAAGCTTGTCAAGTCTAGTTTCTAACGCATTAATAAGATTTTAATTCCGAATTGGATATCTTGAGTTATGGTCATTTTAGTGAAAATAATGCAGACTGCCAGAATTAATTACTCGAGTTATTACTTGTTTAACTTAATTGTTTTGGTATAAGTGGCCTCAAATGGGTTGATTAATTATTGTTATATTGGAATTATCTTGAATAGGCCACTAAATTTTGAGGGAGAAAAATTAGGTGGTGGAATCAGAAGAAGGTAAGTAGAATCTCACACGCTTTGCTTGTTTTCAAATCTATGTATATATATATGTTTCTAAATGAAAGAATGTTTTATTTCTTTATTTTTGATATATGAAAATAGGATCAAGCATATGATTATTTTGTTTTCTCTATATAATGATGGATCATGCTTATGAATGAAATGAGAAAATGATTTATGTTTAAAGAATGATTTTATGATGGCTACGTTTTTACATCCCTGGGAAATGGGATCATCGACACCAAAACTTAGTTCTACGACCTTGGCTAACGGGTAATAGTAGTTAGCAAAGACATGATCATACGACCCTGGCTAATGGATAATAGTAGTTAGCATAAGCACTAGCTAACGGGTTATAATAGTTAGCAATGATCATGAGAATGAAATTGTCGATACGGCCAATGTCACGGGTTATAGTAGTGATCGTAGCTAACGATTTGAATGATGATGATGATTTATGATGCTTTTTTTTATGATTAATCCATGATTTGGTTTGACTACGATATTTGAATGATAACATATTTTACAATGATTTATGAATTTACGAAATGTTTGACAGAACGATGATATTGAGATGTTTTGACATTTTGATTTGACGAATGTTTTGAATGATCTATATGACATGTATGAAACGATTTTTGATCCGATAAGGTGTGTGAGCCTTTACTTACTGAGCTGTGGTTTGCTCATTCCCTATTTTCTTTTCTTTTACAGATGTTATGAATGATAAGTATGATTAGCTTGAGAAAAGCTAGAAGAATTGAGCATTGGAGAACTACTTAGAAATATAGGATTTTATGAAATATTGTTTATTTTAGTTGTAATACTCGACTTTGAACCTTTGGAGACTTGTTATCTAGCTATGTTACTTAATGAGAACCTGTTATATTTGAGAGTTGTTTAATGATTATGGATTAGGCTTCGTATTGCTTTGAGGTTTTACTTCAAGGTAATATGGTCGTGTTATGCCTCGATTCGGGGCGTGACAAAATTGGTATCAGAGCGGTCACTAGTCCGCAGTCGTGGGAGTCACTAAGTGCTACACGATGGT